ATACCTGGATGAAGCTAAGACTTTGATAACTCGAGAATGTATATTTAAAGATATAAATTTCTTATGGAAAATATAAAGTAAATATCTCTTCTAAAAATGACTCAAATACCTACAGTTTAATGTCTCTTCCACATTATAAATTAATAGAAAATTAGTCTGCGTTTACATATTTATTTAAAATTAAACAGTTTTAATTATTCCCCAGGAGATATAGTACATACAATTATGAAAGTTACATATAGAAACAGAATCATGCGGGTGCTAATTGAAATGCTTTGATGACATGCCCGTTGACATTTTTTAGATTTTTAATTAAATTGCTGTCAACATTTTTTGCGTATATTTTCATTTCCATTTGGCTGCATTTCATGGGGGATTTTCTGACTTCCTCCCTATTTATTTTTATTTTTATTTTTTCAACCCCCCGTTCTCTAAAGTGCAAGTGTCAAATTATTACATGCTAACTAATTTGGGGTTATTCGTCGTGTTGTATATATTTTTTCTCGCTCTTGTTTTTTTGCATTTCTCCTTGTTTGAGTTTTTATTCGATCCACGAGTGTGTGTGTGTGCTCCTGTGTGTGTTCTTTTCAACCGCAAAATTGAAATGTTTTAATTGAAACTAAATGTTGCCTCCGTGTATTGGGCAGCAAATAAAACAAGGGCCAGAACAAGGGCAAATACACGCCGGTTTGAAAACAATAACAAGAACACAAACACCCAGAACCAGGAATACCAGCAGCACCAGAACCGGAAAACTGGAATCCGGCAATAATAATTACATCGAAGGGAGGAGGCAGGAGGGAGGAGTCGCCCGAGTTAGGCAAACTCCCCTCCGTTCTCTCTATTTGCGACTTTGTCCTGGCAACTCCATCACAATGCAGTAAACTCCGGAAATCCGATTTGCGCCCCCTTTCCATTCATTTTGCAGGTCCTTTCTGGGTAACGAGTTGTGCTCCTCCTGCCCGTATCCTCTTTATGCAGAACTGCATTGAGTTGCCATCGAAGCTTACCTCTCCTCAAAATTTAATTGTAAATACATAAATCGCTTTACGACCGCTTTTTCGCTGCCATAATTTTGTGTGTGCCTGTGTTTGCTTCCACCTTGGGTCTTGGTGTTTTTATTTTTTAGGATTTTTCACATTGCAAAGCGTTTAAAAAAGGCCAAAGGCTTAAGCCTCGTGCGGTCAACAAAAAGCTGGCCGCAATGGGAAAAATAAATACGGGCTCAGGCCGCTGGATAAAACAGGACCAAGAGCAGCGTTGGTCCTTCGGGTCCTTTTCAGGCCGCACTGAGGGACACACAGACACAAACAGGGCACATAAAAATGCATTAAATAAAATTTGTCATATAAATCTTGCAATTTATATGTTTGCGTGTGGCCTGCAGTAGCCCGAAAAATGTAATTTACAGACCCAAAGCTTTGGGCAGTAAGTATGAATGAGAGGGAGTATCAAGGGTATACTCGAAAGGGAAAAAGGATGGATATTTTATAAAGAAAGTAATATGAAAATATCAAGAACTTGCTAAAAATAGTTGTACCAATTTAAAATAAATAAACAAAACTTGTAGGAAGCTTTAAATACAAGTTGAAATATATTTATAAACATTTACAACAGCCTAAATTATTTACTTAACTAGATAAAGGACCTTCAGTTCAAAATGGCAATATTGCAGGACCTAAAACTTTTTTTTCATAGCATACTTTCCACCGCCGGAAGTCTCCTAAAGGGTAACCCCAGAGCTGCAACATTTGGCCACATTAATACACTCTTTTTCGCTTTCGCACGTCATCTCGGGCGAGCTGCCGTATAACTCATTAAGAGCGCTTGTCGCAGGTGCTAATTCGTTAAAATGGAAATCAGAATTTTCCAATTAAACTGCGGATAATAAATTGGCCCTGGCCGAAACCCTGCCACATATATACACAGCGGCCAGAGGGCAGAGAACTTTGGGGGGGCTCTGGAGTTTTTCGGGGGTTGGCCGGCCAGCATCAGAAGCAGGAGCAGCAGCTGCGTGGCGGCGGGCTCTGGGCAGAAAAGGAAATAAATTATAAATACGCCGGAAGTTCCAAGTCAGCATGAAAGGGCGAAAATACACACACTGGCACACACACCCCCATTCTGGCCCACAGGTTTGCATTTCCGTTAGCCAGCTAATTTGTAAAAAGCTGTTGACCAGCACACACACACACGAGCAGCTGAGACTCGGCAAGAAGATAAACTATGTGTACAGCATATAGTGCACATATATAAGCAGATACTTTATCTAATGCCAGACGACGTGTGGAAATTTAGATGTATCCTCAGACAGGCATTCACACACACACACACACCAACCACCCATCAGTATTGTGGGTGGGCAAGGACGAGGGCCAGCAATTAGATAAAACAAACGCATTGCTGACAAAGGCAATGCAATTTTGCTTGCCAACCGCAGCAAAAGTTGAAAACATCTCAAATATGGTGGAGTTCAGGCAAGGGGAGTTTAGGGTAGCCAGAAAGTACAGTAGACACTGGAAAAAGGGACAGTAAAACATGAAAAATTAATTATAGAAAGTAGTAAGTTTGGAATTTGATTAACTGGGAATGAATTAAACTTATACTTACTTAATAAATTTAGATTTTAAACCTTTTGAATTTTATTTTTATAATTTCTTTACCAAGAAATATCTTAGTTCGTTTTGATTTCTAACAACTGGCTTAAAAAGATCTCGCCAAGGCACCTCTTAAGTAAAGTCTATCTCTGATAATTCACTGCTAAAGATGTCCAAATTGTTGCTGCCATTTAACGCTGTTACACCAAAATATATATATGTACATATATCTATGTTTATATATAAACAATATGTGGCTATATCTCTGCGCCGAAGTGAAGCTTGCAGAAGCGGAAAGAGAAGTCAAAACTGCTGTTGCCGCAACTTGAAGTATGCGTGGTCCGAGTGGGTTTCAGGGTGGATGCATCACTTGGAGGTTGGAAACTGCTATTGTGCGGCAGGAGCAGCTGCAAGCGGAGCAGCTCAACAATTCAATTTAAGATTCGTGCGCAATTTGCGCAATGCCAGCCAGTGCCAGGAGGAGGAGGAGGAGAAGCAGGATCGTGGGGGGGGACGTGGCACAGTGCGGTCTCAATGCGTGGCAGCGACTGACTCGGCTTGACTGCCAGTTGATTCATATGGCAGGCGGATGGGATGGCCTGCTTCAGATCCACTTGCCACTTGGCGCTAAGTATTACGCCACTCCTTTGCTCATCCTCAGGCTCATCCTGGGCATCCTGCATCCTGGCATCTGAAGCTTATGCGTGTTACGAGCTGGGTAATTGTAAAACTGGCTCATTTATTTCTCCGCGCATTTTGTTGGCGTTTTCTTTAAGGCGCCACACATTTTGCACATTTAGCAATCTGCAAATAAATACATTATTTTATTATTTAACTAGCAGACCCGACCCCCTTTGCTGGGCCCGAACTAATTATAGTTGACCCGGCAAACACTGTTTTGTCATGTATATTATTTGTAGGAAACAATACGGAAACAATGAGCATATTACAGAGTTGTCAGTAAATAAAATATTAAACCTTCAACAGTAATCTTAATATATAAAAATCTCCTGTCACTATGTTTGTTCGCTATAGACTCCTAAACCGCTTCCTCTGCTTGTTCAATAAAATTATACTGGCACCGAGTCGTTACGCGCTCTTCACAATTGCCCATAAAATAAATTTGAAGAATTTTCGGATTATCATCAGGCATTCAATTTTGTGGTACATCTGGCCTTGTATTTTGAATGTAGTTTCAGAATTACGTCCATCGGATGCAAGATCACAAATTTTAGTGGCCCCAAATGACGTCATTTGGAAGCAAGAATTAAATTTGCGTATTTTACGCGAAAATAATTTGGAGTCATTTGAATTTCCAGCAAGAAGGGTTAATAAAGGTTCTGGCGGAGCAGGTAGAGAGCACGACTTTTCCTGATGCGCAGCACATATCGGCAGTTGCATTCCGAAATTTAAACGCCTCACAATATTGACATTCTGTGTTCTTTCCACCGATAGCAATTTTTGAATGCGCAGAGTAGTTAATATCTGGTGCATATTCAAAAGCAAGACGAACGAATGGAACGAACTGATGAGCGACTGTTCCGCTGCCTTTGTCGTTCTTGTGCTCGTACTATACATATCTATGTTTCTATCTCGAGCCGCCCTGATTCTCGTAATATTCTGCTGCAGACGTTCGCTACGCTGTTCCTGGGATTCTCGTGCACGACCTTCTGCTGTCCTAATTCTTTGAGCTCTATTTCTTGTATTGACTGATGAGCTCTTTCGAAACGTCTGCGTCGTGCCACTCTGCTGCTTACGTTGTTGAGATTCGATCTTTTCGGTGGCATTTTGCTGAAAATAATATCTTACCTTCTTAATGTATTTCAAATGAGAATTTAGAGACTCACCACTTATAAACACAAAACAATAATTATGAATAACAAATGACAATAATAGAAAAGACAATCTGACGAAATGCGATTTGTTGAAATAATTTCATACAAAATATGTAATATGTGAAGAACCTCTCGACCAATTTTGTGCAAACTCATCAACAAAACAGCCCGAGCAAAGCATAGAGATTTGGTTAAATAAGCACACTTAATTTCATGAGAATCGGTAAGCCCTTTCGGAGGAGTGCATAAAAAAAGAAGATTCCTCCTTGTTCTGCCGAAGCTGCCATGATGAAAAAGTTCTAAGCTATCCTATCTCTCAAGTTGAACCAACCTGCATATTGCCTGCAAATTTGATAGAAATCTGTTAAGCGGTTTTGGAGTCTATAGCGAACAAACATAGTGACAGGAGATTTTTATAAGCTCTGACAAATATGGGACTAGCAAAGAAATTACCCAACATTTATGTTTACATGTGGATGCATTTACTTTCAATATACTTTTTAATGATATTTTTGCATTACGTTTTAATACTTTCATCAATACAATTGTGTCATGCTATACCTTAAACCCATATCACTGTCGTAGTCACAGTTTGTTTTAATGTCATTTTTCTGTCTGTACGAGAAGCACCGAAACGAGCCTTACAAATTCTGAAAAAACTGGTATCCCTAATTATAGCCGGAAAATGAATCCATCAAGAAACTTAACCGACTTGCCGCTGGAAGTTCTTGGTTTAATATTTAAGGAGCTGCCAACTCTGAATGAGCAAATTTCTCTGGCTCAGGTTCATCCCCATATCGGATTGGCTTTCGCTTTTCACAATAGCCAAAAGCTTCAGAAACTCAAAATTGCTTACTTGAACGTCAAGGAGTTGTCGGTAGTCCTGCAACTTTGCGGATCAAGCGTGAATCATATTGATGGGTCCAATGTGTTGGGTGACAAACTGAAATTGGTGGAACAGCATTGCCCCAACCTGCAATCCATAGAGCTTGTTGTTTCGGAGGAGAATCTCAACGCCATAAAATCGTTGCTGACTAAAGTAAGAAGCCTGATATCAATTACCTTGGGCATCGACCCAGATCTTTATAATCGTTTGGGGATTGTGGAACTACTGAAGCTGCAGCCGAGTTTAGAGAGACTGCATTTAATTCATTTTTGCGGCGAACAATGTAAGAAAGCGTTGAATGAAATTCTAAGATGATGTAGCTCTACTGATTCCCTTTGTTTTCCAGTATTTGAAGTGCGAAATTTGGGTAACTTGGAGGAGCTGATAATGAAAGCCTCAACATACATAAGCTGTGCTATCGCCTTAAATAAATTCAAACGCTACAGGTTCAATGCCAGAACTTTACGTTGGGAAAGAAGTACCTTGTCCGGCCTTAACAGAACTCAAACTATGTAAACCGGAGGCTTGGTTGCATTTTGACTGGCAAGCTTGGAGTATCAGTACCCCTGACATGTTAAGATGGATTCTGAGCCATGCCGAGACCCTGGAGGTATTGCATTTAAGCTTAAGGATACCATTTTATGAACCAGATACATACATTTGCAAAACATTATCCGAATGAAAAAGCTTACTCCATTTTTACATGCCAATACGCACAGTGAATTCTGACTTTGCCCATCGCTTAATTGAGATTGTTTCGAAAAAAGGGAAGCCGCTGGAACTAGATTTTGATAATAAAATGGTTCATGACCAAATTCGAAAATTGGTAAGTGGTTAATTTAAATTTATTAGGAATTATTAAGTAATAAAGTAATGTATTTATTGCAGATGGACAAAACTGCAGCTAAGCATTTAATTACTCTTGGGGATCATTATTATTTTTGATAAAATATATACCTACTTGTTAAATACTAAAGGAACTTAATAAACATTTCAATATCTTAGAAAATTATTTTTTGTGTGGATATCTTAAATCTTAAACTTATTTATTTTAATTTTTATAAGATACTAGCTTAAAAAAATATGGTAATTTTTAGCATTTCACCATAAGATGCATTAGTATTTTACGTTTGTGTTCCAATTCCATTGTTTCAATAGATACAAAAGTTAAAGGAAAACTAGGATTAAGAGGTGTTATTATACCTTTTTCCTTAACTAACTCCTTATGTAAAAATGTTATTAACTAATTTTAGCCTGGTTTTACTTGCCAAAATGATCACCTTTGTTGTTTAAAAACCAATTAAGCCAAGAAGTTAAACATTTTTAATTTGTTTCTTATTTTATTTCAACTCTTTCCCCGTCTGACTACACACACACACTCTTCAGGTTTGCTGACCCTCTGTCTTTGGGTCCTTCTTTCCCCACAGCTGCTCCGCAGCAAACAAGAGTTATTTGGCTTTCCAATGGTTTAATTAAAACATTGTTACTTCATTGTGAAAATGCGCAAAGTGTAATTATATAACATTTTCACAACCACGCTGCCGCACACTTACCCAAACACACACTCGCACTCACCCTTACAATAAAGAGCAAACGAAGATATTTTTTCAGTTTTGAAATGTTAGTTTCTAATACTTAAGGGGTTTGTGGTATACTTTATAATTAAATAATATTCATTTAATAAATTCAAAATATTGTTAAAGCTAAATCTATTTTAAAATGTAAATCTATAGAAATCGTATCCTTTAAAAGATGAACAATGTAATTCATTTGTTGCATTATCAAACCACAGTTTTTTCTGAAGCTCTATAATTTTTTAAACTTCAAAAATCAATGTAATCTTACTTTTGAATAAATTTTTAATAATTATTATAATTTTCTACAGCTAGATTTCTGATCACAACTGTATTTAGACGCCCAGTTAGAGTGCTTGGCAGTGCTAACAAACAAATACAAATGCAGCGAAACCAGCGGCGGGACAGACAAAATGTAGTACATATGTCGGTAAAAAGGGGGGCTTTACTGGGTCCTGGGGTAGGTAAAAGGGGGGTTTAAAGGGGGTGTTTAGAGGGGCTTCTTTCCCCGGCACCCAGAGAGCCCGAGCAAGTGAAGCCGCTTTGAGCTTTAACGCTTTGTACAGATTTCCATGTGGGGGTGTGAGTTTGCCAGGACTCGGTCCAAAGTGTGTGCGTGTGTGTGTGTTTGTATGTGGGCGCAAATCGCTTGGCTCCAAAAGTTGACACGCACATGGCTATAATAGGTAGAAAATTAAATTAAGCCAGGACGGCGTCTCGGAAAAGCAGGTTACAATATTTGCACGCCAATCCAACGACATATATAAAGTATATACTATATATAAATAGGTATATATATATTATTATAGAGATTAATGTACTAGAGATGTGAAAATGAGATCTGGCAATAGTCAAGCACTGCGGAAAAAAGGAATGAAGATCAAGACTATGATTGAATAATTGTAAGTATAGTTAAATCATACAATTTTCCATTCAATATATTTTTTATCCTCTAAAAGTGTGTCAACATATCAAAATCTCTTAGTTAAGAGATCTGTGATTTGTAAAAAAAAGTATTCCTTTACAAAATGTGTCACATTTTGGTTAGCTAATTAAAAAGTTCAAGATCTTTCTTTAAGATAGTTAAAAAATAAAAATTTCCCACATGTTGGCTAACTGATTAAAAGGTAAATTTCTTATAAAATATTAAGGTTTTTAATTTGTATAAAGAAGCACGAAGTTAAAGTTGTTTTACCTTGATTAAACTCTTGAGATATAATTGGAAATCAGACACATATGTATATGAAATATAATAACAAAACTAAATAGTTTCCTAACCTCAACACTTTTCACAAACCTAATAAGAAATTTAATTAGTAATTTAATTTAAATCTTCAAAATGAGACTTCTTTAGGCTTTCCTGGAACGCATTACCACCTATAATTTCACACGAAATCAAGTTTTATGATAATTTTGTTACACTAAATCCATTTAATGTCTTATTCAGCAACCTTTTCATTGACACCAGACCACTTTTCATTCCTGTAAAGCTCCTGAAACTCCCCCTACGGACAGGTTTTATTTTAAGCCTAGGCAACCCTTTAATAACTTAATTGAGGTTGACGCTTTAAAGACATTAACTGGCCTTGGGGCGGGGGGTTGAAAAACAAAGGAGCCAGAGATGAGTTCAGGCTTATATCAACATGCAACACACACTTACACACACACACACTTATACAAAGGGCAATAAGCCAAAATGCCAAAATGCCAAAAGGCTTGAAATAAATTAACTTTTTTGGTGATTTTATGTAAATCGTGAAATGGAAAGCGCTAGAGCTTTTGGCCAGACGACGACCAACCAACCCACTTATATTTATTTAACGATGTGACCCAAATTTATTTCTCCATGTGGAGTGTTTAATTAGACAAGTTCCCTCCCCCTTCCCCCCTGGTCTTTACGACCCGAGTGGGTTTCTGCTTTTCCGTCAAGGTCGAATGATATGCGCATATAAATAAACCCCAACCGAGGTCCGTCCCGAATGGGTTTCGGTTTCTGGCCTTAAAGGGGGGGCCCGGCTTATCTTCGGGCCGAGCCATGCCAAAAATTTACGTACTGTTAAGTAAAGGATTTGTGGTTAATGACGGTCGTCGGTTTTTGGCCACCGCCAGATTATTTTTTCTCCCCTCGCCACATGCTGCATATGCTGCGGAGGTCTAACCAAGTTCCATGTGGACAGACTGCTCCTTGGGTTGGGTTGCTCAGGATGTGGGCAATAAATTTGAGTTGTAATCAAATTTAAATTAAAGTTGTTGGCCTCGGTCAGATTGAGGGGCTGCTGCCATTAGGCCAGAAATGAATGAAGGTCATAACTGGGATGGCAGTGGTCTTAAGGCAACGATTTGCTGTGTTTATTAGGTTCTGAGAGGCTTGATCCTTGGAAATATAGTATTTTAACTTTCATCTCATAGTGCCAATTGGATTTCGAAGGCTTGGTAAATACAGTTTTGAGGTGAACCCAAACTGAACCAAAAAAAAACCAACCCCCAATTCGTTCCTGGGATTCCCCCCATCGAGAAGGAATCAACCGAAATGCAAATTGTGACATAAGTGGACGGCTTATCAAGCTAGCAAATCCTTCGGCCAAAACACGGATATGAGACTGTGACAAATCTGGCTGGCCAGGAACGGGACCTCAGCTGTCATGAACGCTCCACGGCTCTGCCGCTTCCGGCCCCCTTCGAGCTCGGGAACGCCCCGGCTAAGCCCTGGCTTAGATGTGTTAGATATGTTCAACAGCTGCGTTATTTCCATTTTTCCACTTTTCCACTTTCCCCCTCAATATTTTTTTGGTTTTTTTTTTGCCCTCAAGACCATGACAACTTTCAATTTCCATGACCGTCCCGCCCCGCTCGTTGGCAATTTCAATTTTCCAAAGCACACGCTTTGGCCCAAAAGGTCCTGCCACGCCCACCGGCTTAAGGCGGTCCAAGGACACACAAATATATTCTAATCCAATCGAAGCATTTATCAGCGTAACCGATCGACAAAAGTCGAGAGTTATGCATCAAAGTCACGAGGCGATGAGCCAACTCAGATAGTCAGTCGTTGCCATTCCCCCGGGCAATTACCCCCTTTTGCCATTTTCCCCTTTCCGTTTTTCCGGCTTTTCGCTCGAAGGGGGAAATTGATGAAATTTTTTTATGTAAATGCTGCACTAAATCAAAACACATTTCACACACGCGCACACGAGCCGGCAATTTGATGCTGCATTGAGCAGGCGGACTTGACAAAAGCCAAAAACGCCAAAGCGAACCCCGAACTCAGGACTCAGAATCCAGAACCAGAATCGTCCTTCTATCCCCGCATCATAAAAATATCTCTAACAATTTTTGCAGTAATGGCTAGACATAAAAAATACGCAACGAAAACAAGTGCAGGGTGTCGATGTATGTTGGAGCTTAAACGAATAGTTGATACCCTGTTAAAAGAGGGGGAAAAGCAGATAAATAAATAAAAATACAATGAAACTTAAGAAGTTTAATTTATATATATTTATTGTAAATACTTCTTAGAAATAACGTACATGAAATGTGTGATTAATATATTTGAAATCAAATAAAACAAAGAGCTAGATAACAGTCTATAGTTTTGGTTTAGTTTGGGTTTCTCTTTAAATTTATCATATATATAGTGAAGTATAATATGTACTTTTAAGTTATTCGACCGATTGCATTTACCCAAAATCCCAATATACCCCCGCTACCCTGTGCGGCCGTTGCGCGAGTATAATAATAATTTTTCACTTGCGTAACCAATCGATTCGTGTGTCCTACCCCTAGCTGGATATCGGTGCGGAGTGTCAAAGATGAGGCCACACTGATAAAATCCAATCACTATGAAATTTACGCTCCTTTACAGGAAATGAAGCGGAAGAAATGTGCAAAATGTATTGGCGAAGCCCGTCCCAGAGATACTCATTCGTATCTCCGTAGATTTGTCTCTTTCTCACTGTGTGTGTGTGTATGAGTGTGTGTGTGTGGCTCTTGGGGGGAAGTAAGGGAGTTCAACTCCAAGTTATTGCCATTGCAATTCATAAAACAAATTGATATTGCCGCTATTACCCACACAAACACCCAGAGCCACAGCTCCAGCTCCCCGGCCCACATCAAATGCCAAATGTCGAACGCCCCCGTGTGGAACCGCAGAAGCCGGGGCTAAATTAAATTAAATATTTACTCACATTTGCATGCGATTTTATTTCTTTTTATTTTATTTATTTTTTCTTTTCTCCCTGGCTTGGTGAGCAATTTGACGGAGACATGCTTTGCTTTGATTAGCTTTCGCCGATTGGGGTAATTTGTGTCACAGGCAGCGTCAACGCCCACCACAAAAAATATATATAAAAAAATAAAGAAAGAAAGACTCGGGCATTGGAATCGGAGTGCAGGCCCAGAGCAGCAATTTAGCCTGGGACGCCCCTAATTATATGCA